TAACTAACACTGAAACGCATTCGGGCTGTGTCTGTGGGAGCTGGGTGAGGTGGTGTGGTGGATCAGATCCTCTCCAGTCTGATGTTCCCCCGTTACTGGGGTCAAGCCCTGAAACTCCTTTTAATGAGAGAGAAACGTACAGCACTGCCCAGGCCAACATCAGCAGAGCACATCTGAAAGGCAAAATGCTTGCCTTTTAAATAAAGGCAAGCACCCTCCAAAGGAGGATGGAGCCAGGAGGGGCTGGGCTCTGCTCCCAAGGAACAAGGGATGGGACAAGAGGAACCGGCCTCAAGCTGCACCAGGGCAGGTTTAGATGGAGCTGAGGAACAATTCCTGCCCCAGAGGGTGGTCAGGCATTGGAACAGGCTGCCCAGGGCAGGGCTGCAGGCACCGTCCCTGCGAGTGTTCACACAGCGTGGAGGGGAGGCCTCAGTGCCATGGGGCAGTGGTGGCCGTGGCAGGGCTGGGAATGGTTGGACTGGGTGAGCTTGAAGGGCTTTTCCAACCTAAACAATTCTATGATTCTATTTGCAAGATATTATAGGTGTTGTATGGTCAAAAAGGTTTTCTTACCCCAGTGAAGAAAGTCAAGTGAAGAAATCAGTGCAGAGCTTTAGGAAAAGTGAACCACAATTTGTGTGCTGGCTCATGGGGCACCTAGGAACATTGCCACTGAGTGTGGCAAACTGTTAGATGAGGTACATCAGTGCCACAGGACATGTCCTCACCTAGGCACAGTGCTCATCTGTGTCCCCAGTCCTTAGGAAGCAGTAGGGACAAGGAACATGCTGGAACAAGGGAGGAATGCCCCAGGGGACTCCACCTCCCTACAGCATCATCTACATCAAATATGTTAGTTTAGGGAGCAAGTTTTGCTCTGCTAATCCCTCTGCAGCCATTCTCTGGGTTTTGTGGGTGGAATTCTGGGTGGAATTTTGCTTTTGTGTATTTTCCAGCCAGGAGTCACTCAGCACCACTGAGACAAATATATCTGAAAATCCTTGAGGAAGGAGGCAGGAGGGATTGCAAGAGCTGTCCATGAGCTAACTCTGCCTGGATGGGTAAGACAAGGCTGTAGAGGAGAAAGCCCAAAACTGTGAGGTTCTTTAAAGCATGGCTTCATTCTCTGAAATGTGTTGGCAGAAAGATGCAGAAGGTGAGCCCCCAAAAGACCGATGGACTTGATAAGAGAGGGTTTTGTCAGGTCCTGTTCATTGGCATTCACGTGAGGCTGCTGCGAGATGCAGGAACTGTGAAATGAGTGGCTTATGCTGATTTGTTTCTTATTTCTAATTTAAATGAATAATGTAGCAATTTTTTGAGTCTTGAAATAGGAATACAGAGAATAAAAGATTATTGCTCTAACTGCAGAGGCAAAAAACAACTATTTGTTGCACTAAAATATTAAAGTTTAGTATTTCAAATATTTGAGAGAGATATGCCACCAACAGCACTTTAAAGTGAAATATTATCCCCGTGTGTATTTGTGCGTATGCATAGAAAATAAAGAAGCACTTCTTGTTTCATAAAGACCCCAGTTATGATACATTCTGTGCCTAATTCAAAACTGGTTTGTGGATACTGATTCTGAGTTCAAATAGAAAATACGATATTTACTAGGCTAAAAAGAAAGTCAAGGAATCCAAAAATGGATCAGAGAATCACAGGATGAGTTTGGGCTGGAAGGGACCTTAAAGCTCCTCCAGCTCCAACCCCTGCCACGGACAGGGACCCCTTCCACTGGAGCAGCTTGCTCCAAGCCCCTGTGTCCAAGCTGGCCTTGAACACAAACCCACCTCTATAACCTGCTGCTGTAGGTCAGTGTTGAGGGGAGGTGATCCTGGCAGATCCCATGGAGCACAGGGCTCCCATAGTGCTCCATGGGGAAAGAGCCATCTTCTTGGTGAGGGCATGCACAGGGACCAGCCAAACCCCACCAGCTCCCTTCCGTGCTCTTCTAAATCCTCCGTTTACATTGCAAACATCAGACTTTCCATCCAGCCCATTTTAAACTTCCCCTGCACAGAAATTCACTTTCTTTTAAGGTATCACTCTCGCAGCTCTGAACTGGATTTGCACTGCCAGATCAGCACAAGGGGAGCCAAACCACTTGACCTTGGTTTCTGTTTCAGATAGTTACCAAGACATTGCTCCAGATGAGAAACTTCAGCTGCATAAATGCCTCTCTGCAGGCCAGCCACTGTTCTCCTTCCCCCCTCCGTCTACTGAAAGCTTCTCATGCTGTAAAATCAGCTGTAAACAGAGTGCTCTGATACACTGGTGGTGATAGGCATTATGGAAATGCCCAGGATAGCTGCAGATGTAATCAGAGTCAAATAATCTGTGCTTTTATTTATGCTTAATCATACATACCTCCACCATTATCTTGCTGTACAAATATTAAGGCTGCAAGTGCAAGTGTGTGTGTCTGTACAAAGCAATGACATTCAATGCTACCATCTTAAGAGGAGGGGAAGAAGCTATTTTCAAACATTTAAACCTTTTCATTCATTCCTATAGTAAGGTTTTTGGTGTGACAGAGGGAACCGTCAATAAACCCCGAAGAAAATTAACCACTCCAAGTACAAAATGACCTTGCCTGGCATTACCCAGCAATGACAATGAAACTAATTCCCACAAATAATCACTCCAGATGAATGACTTAGCAGACCATGCTGGGAACCTTTACATTTCAAACACACATGTTTACTTTCTCAAAGCTCTTAAAATACCCCAGAATGTTTGGAAGGGACCTTAAAGCTCCTCCAGCTCCAACCCCTGTGTCCAACCTGGCCTTGAACACTGCCAGGGATGGGGCAGCCACAGCTTCTCTGGGCATCCTGTGCCAGCGCCTCAGCACCCTCCCAGGGAAGAGCTTCTGCCTAAGAGCTCATCTCAGTCTCCCCTGTTTCAGTTTAAAACCATCACCCCTTGTCCTGTCACTACAGTCCCTGGTGAAGAGTCCCTCCCCAGCATCCTTGTAGCCCCCCTTAGATACCATAAGGCTGCTATGGTCAAATGTGGTTTTGAACCGACCCAGTCATAGCATCAACCCCCAAGCTCTGCAGGGGTGGAAGAGGGGGAAATTGAGCCCACGGTCCAGCAAAACCAGCTTCTGCACGGTTTGGCATCCTCCACCTCCCTGTCCCATGTGAACTCAGGGCTATTTATTCAAATCCAGCTGAGCATCTGCTCAGGACATGATATTCAATCCCAGTGGTTTAAACTTCTCCAGATTTGCTTCTCCTTCATGCTTTTTTTTGCATCAAATCCTTCTGGTTAGCCAGCTCTGGGAACCGTAAGTCTTTCCTATTATCTACCCAAGCCTGTGTGGTTTTCCCCATTAATTCACTTAGCACCTTTGTGCTGAAACAATCCAGATGTGATTTAATAAGCTTCAGAAAGATAGTATTGGTTCATGTGCAGGAAATCAGATTTACATAATTTTGCACTCACAATTATAGCCACCATAGTTCAAATTATCTGTAAGTTAGGGGAACTCTTTAAATATGACAAAATGCAATACCACCCACGCTGTGCTTCAGCTTGCTAGCCTGGTTTGTGTAATAAATTAAATGTTGATTTGCCATCCTGACTTATCACACAAAGTTCCTTTGAATGAGAAGCGAGTGCCCTGTCCTGTGTTTAGGCATGATTATTAGTCACAAACTAAGCTTCAAAATCAAGCTTCATCTTGTTTGGGGTTTTTATTGCCTGAACCTCTCTGCATGGGGGAAATGAATGATTTTGGGGTTTACAACACACTGTGCCAAATGTCACGTTAGGAATGGACCTGGTAGCACATAGCACAGATTTTCCTGTTTCAGTATTCAGACTGAGCAAGGCTTGAAATTCAGGAGACCACAACTGCAGAAGCCAGCAGGATGTGGTGAAACCCCTGGGTTTACTTTAATTTCCTGGGTGATTATTGCAGCTTTTCTTCTTCTCTGCCCCAAAGAGAAGCTTGCTTACTCCAAAGCACAGACAGCCTGTGCCATATCCTTATGTCCAACCTCCTGCCAAGGCAGCGCCACCCAGAGCAGGTCATACAGGAACGTGCCAAGGAAGGTTTGGGATGTCTCCAGAGAGGGAAACCCCACAGCCCCCCAGGGCAGCCTGTGCCAGTGCTCTGCCACCCTCAGTGTAAAGAAGTTCTTCCTCATGTTTGTTGAGGTGAAACTTCTTGTGTTGTACTTGTGTTGTGTTGTAGTTAATGGCCATCGCCCCTTGTCCTATTCTCACTGGAGTCAACCCCCAACCCGTGCTGGTACTTAGGGTTCTTCCTCCCCAGGTGCAGGACCCTGCACTTGTCCTTGTTGAATCTCATCAGGTTTCTCTCCACTCAGTTCTCCAGCCTTTCAAAAATCACTGTTTTCTGCCCGGGTCCAAGCCTGCAGCCATCCCACCCATGGCTGCTGCCAGTGATTGCCTCCTCGCTTGCTTCTCCACACTGGTTTCTTATGTTTTAACTTTCTCTCTGCATGCCCTTACTGTAATATTTACTTAGGAATTTGAGAAAGGCTTTGTATTACAGCAAATAAATTCAAGCTCATCCAAGAGACTGAAAATAAATATGAATGTCCTTGGCAAAGCAAAATTGTCAAGCTTTGGCTTCTATCTAAACTTAGGCAGAAAATGAGTTGTTTTCCAGCAGACCTTAGACATTCACCTCTCATTGATTTCAGTGGAGATCTCAATGCTCAGTAACTTGAAAACAGATAAATTATTCAGATGTTTAAACCTGAATTGCTCGGCTGATGTTAAATACCCACATTTTAAATGCTTGCCTTAAAACTGGTTTATCCTCTTTGAAACTAAAGTCATCTTCACTCAGCGGTGCGGCAGGAGGGCTTGGCTACCTTTGCAGCAGCTCCTCCGGCTTTCAGGAGGACGCTTTTGCTGCACTAATGGTTATCTTAGAAGAGTTACTGAAAACTGAGGATTTGGGGGTCCAGGAGTGGGCATTTTCACTTAACCCCTTTCTCTTCTCTTTGCAGCTCCCAGTACAGCCCAGTACGGGATCACCGGCGATGCCGAAGTCCTCTTCTCCTGCTGGTACCTTGTGTTGACACTGTCCTCCCTCACCAGCATATTCTACCTGAAGAACATCATTCTGCACTAAATGTAAAGACCCATAAAAGGCTTTTAAGGATTCTCTGAAAGTGCTGATGACTGGCTCCAATCTGGTAGAGTTTGTTAAAAGCAGCGTGGGATATAATCAGCAGTGCTTACGTGGGGATGATCGCCTTCTGTAGAATTGCTCATTATGTAAATACTTTAATTCTACTCCTCTTTTTGATTAGCTGCATTACCTTGTGAAGCAGTACACATTGTCCTTTTTTAAGACGTGAAAAACTCTGAAATTACTTTTAGAGGATATTAATTGTGATTTCATGTTTGTAATCTCCAAGTTTTCAAAAGCATTCAGTCATGGTCTGCTGAGTTGCAGACTGTAGTTTACAAAAAAAAAGAGAAGATATTGCAGTAAAAATGTGCTTCTTTAAGGCTGCAATACAAATATTCAGTTCCCTTCTTGAACAGCATTGAACCCACATTTACACAGACACATTTTTCCTTTTTTGATAGAAAAAATAACAAATAATATTGCCTTCAAAATAATATTTCTTCAAAATATTACACATATCTAGATTTTCTTCTAGCATGATATTCAGGTTTCAAGAATGAGCCTTGTATTATAACTGCATTGTGCAGTACTGCTTTCTGGTTTCTTTCCTTTCTCCTGCAAATTCAGCATGGGTGTGCCTTCATAAAACACTTCTTTCCTCTTCCTCTCCAACAAATCTGAAATGTCTTTTGGGAAATGCTAAAGCATCCTTTTGAGCATAACAAATCTCTAGTCTAGGACAAAGGTGCTATTGGCTAAAAGCAAAACCTCCTCTTCCATCTCCAGGGGGTCATCAAAAAGCTTCAGACTTAGGTTTTTAGGCAACCAGTTGAGGATAGCACCAACTCCTCTTTGTGTTTTCCATCTAGCACCACTGACCAGTAGATGATTTCAGTAAAAACCAGTTTTTCCCATTACAAAACAGAACACAAATTATTTTGAGACATCTTTTGAATGTAGGAATGTTTTCCTTAGTCATTCTAAAGCCAAATTCCTCAATGGCTGTAAATGTGAGAAGCTGAACTGTCCCTTTTGTATTACTGGCAAAAACTATGTGAATTGGTATTTTTCTTGCACTTAATTTTGTACTGGTTTGGCTAATTTAGCAATGATAAAGGATGCTTTTAAATATTAGATATCTGAAAATACATGAAGTATCAAGCAGAATTTTATATATATACATATATATATATTAAAACGAGGTTGCTCCAATAACTGTACCGAAGTGCATGTTGCCGTCCATGATAGAATCATCATTACAGACAGGACTTCATTACCGACGTACTAACGCTGTACAAATAGCTTGCACAGCAGTTAAGGCCTCATACCTAATTTCCTCGTACTGCAGTCTATCGAGATAGATAACGCTCATTTCACCCAGTGAAGGATCAAGTTCTGAAATAGCACCTAATGCTACTAACTTTGTTGTTTTTAAGCAGCCCCAGACAGCACTAATGCAAAATATTACTCACCGTTTATGGCTGAGTTTAAATGCCATCTGTGTAAACTGCTGGGGCATGGCGATGGCCAACAGCCCTTGACTACAACATCCCTTTGTGACCCCAACAGATTTTGACTTGCTTACAAAGCAGCTATTGATGACAAGAGTAACAAAACCACTATTGACACCAACACTCCTATGTTTTCTCTTATCTATATGTCTGGTAGGTGACACAATTCCTGTAGTCGACGTTTTGTCTCCTATCAATCAATAGGTTTTTGTAGCAAGCAATACCAGATGAGCACTGTGCATACCCAGCAGTTCCAAGTTCAGCTCACAGGTACCCCAGTTTTGGGAAAGGCAGACTCTGGGTTTCACTAGTCTCAGTATACACCACCCCATGCTAACAGAATATACACTGAATCTGTTGTAGTTAGTGATAAAGGGTATAAAAGAAATATGTTGACTCCAAAACATGGGAATGAAGTGTCCTGGGTCACTGTGGATGTTCAGTGACAGATCATACTATTTCTATCTTATTTCCAGTTACTATTTTCAGTAATGTAGCATTTTTTAAAACCTCAAATAACATGAGAAACTTAATCCTCTGAGGAAACAGTCAAAACCCAATTCAAATTGTACTATACACAGTCCTGATATCCTGATGTCTCTTGTATTGCAGCTTTAAAGTGCTATATTTTAGAACCCATTTGCTAGAAACAGTGGTGCTGCAGAAAGTATTGTGTCAGTATGGTTTTATGAGGGGAAAAAAAAAGGATATGCATAGCCCAGCTCATGCGCCTTGTCTCACATAAAACTGAGATGTTTCTATACTGTGGCTGGATCAAATTCCATATTTCAATGATATATTTCATTCCAGTGGTTCCCAAGACCTGAAACATGGTATTTCCAGCAGCAGAATAGAATGAACAGCAGCTTTATTAAATATATTTCAAAAAGATAATTATAAGTTGACTGTTTGCATTCATACCTGCTAGAGCTACTGGATAACATGGATATTCAGTCCCATCTCAGACTTTTCACTTGAATTTGGGGGGACACCATTATTGTCAAGTTTAAAAAGTCAAAAGCAAACAAACCCTAAACATTTCTGGGTGCCAGTGGTGTTTCCTTAGATGAAATAAGTGTTTGATAGCAGTCAGGCCTATTAAAACAGGCATTTGATAGCAGTGTTTGGTGGTGGATGCGTGTGTGGGTGCAAAGCGCGGCACAGGGCGAGCTCTTGGTGTCTGTGGACTTAGTCAGCTTGTGAGACTTGCCCGCTCCATCCTCCACTCCTACACAGAGGTGCAGCCGTGCTGAGCTCGGTGCACCAGTTAACCCAACAGACCTAGTACGTGCAGCCAAACGCCCTTAATTATTGCAGGATTGGAGCTGTAGGCAGCATGGATCAAATAAAGCAACAACCAAGTTGGTGAATGTTCCATGCAGTGAACTGGGAATTGTACAGACTGGGACTTACTGAGGTGTTCCAAACCGGACAGTGCTGCAAATAGAACACAGCCCCGTTTCACAAAACCTACCCACCCTTTTAATCTGTAGGTGTGTTTGCGTTAGGCAATGGTTGGAGGGTATGTTCTAGGCTTCTTCAAAGGGTTAACCCTCACCGGTCACATCTGTTGGGCAAATATTATTCTATTTATTCCTACCTTTAAATAAATAAATGGCTTAGCTCCAAGCAGCATAACTGAGGTTGTTGTCCACATCAAAACCCCCCAGGTCTGTAACAGCACAAGTAAGTTCCTACATGTGTAATAACTCAGGTCTGCAGTTGCCATTGCGCCCTTGACATCCATAGAAGCAATGATGCTCTTAATTACACAGTTGCTGATGGTGATATTATACTAATACTAAATTAAAGGATGTCTCACAACTTCCTGAACAAATGCAGTTTCTTGAGGGTTTATAACTTGGCAGGAAATGCATCCTTCAGAGCTAGACAGCTTTTTTTAAACTTTTCAGTATATATATATTATTTTAGAAACTGTGCTGTTTTTAAGATGCAGGAGTGTTAAAACCCATCATCAGTGAAAGCTGCTTTTTTGCACATTTTCATAGCTGGCATTCTGGACAGACAATGGGAAATGTTCTGCCTACCAAAATCTCCACTTAGCCCACAGAACTGTGTTATAAAGAATGTCTATACCAAAATATGTACTTACATGGATGAACAATATGCCTTAAAGACTAAATATGCATTTACTTCTAAGACTAGGCCAGAAGTGTGCCCAGTATGGAGGTAAATAATCCATATTTCATAGCCTGCCATGGAAGGATTGGTTCTGCTGAAGAAAAAAGAAAAGGGGGGAAGGAGAGGGAAGTGTTTCCTTTGAAAGAATCCTAGAATCAACCAGGTTGGAAAAGCCCTTTAATCTCACCCAGTCCAACCATTCCCAGCCCTGCCACGGCCACCACTGCCCCATGGCACTGAGGCCTCCCCTCCACGCTGTGTGAACACTCGCAGGGCCGGTGCCTGCAGCCCTGCCCTGGGCAGCCTGTTCCAATGCCTGAGCACCCTCTGGGGCAGGAATTGTTCCTCAGCTCCATCTAAACCTGCCCTGGGGCAGCTTGAGGCCGGTTCCTCTTGTCCCATCCCTTGTTCCTTGGGAGCAGAGCCCAGCCCCTCCTGGCTCCATCCTCCTGTCAGGCACTTGTAGGGAGCCATCAGGTCCCCCCTGAGCCTTCTCTTCTCCACACTGAACCCCCCAGGTCCCTCAGCCCTTCTCCATCACCCTTGTGCTCCAGGCCCTGCTCCAGCTCCGCTGCCCTTCTCTGGCCCCGCTCCAGCAAATCAAATCTTAAATAAGTTTTAAACATATCTTAATCCTATATATTCTTAAATAATTTCCAAATCATAGCATAAGCAGACATACATGAGCAAGTTTAGGAAAAGGACAAATTTTAGCCTGGCCACGCATGGCCTCTTTGAAACAAGAAGACAACTTCAACAAAGATACATATCTTAAAACCCAGGCATTAAAATTCTCCATTCAGACTTAATGTTGAGTGTAGATAAATAAGAACTGACATCCAAAGGAGGAATTCACTTTCAATCTGACCAACATCCATCTCAGCCGTGCACTGCCAGGGATGCTGCACACAGGCACTCAGTGCTGGGTTTTGGTCCCGTTCTATGTTTTTCTGCTGAGCATTGAGGAAAGGGGGAGAGGAATTCATTCTGTGATCAGAAAAGTCTAGAACATAACTGAAAAGATGCAAACCAAGGCAATGGCACAAGGGTCTCAGGGTAGTATCAATAAGGGCAGGAGAGATTTTTACCAGCGCACCTTCAGCACTATTTGGTCCTACCGTTTTCTACCAACTTTCTTAATGCACAAAGAGCTCAAGTGTTCCTTTAGAATAGAAAATGCCCATGCTGAAGAATGCAGAGATCAACATAATTTGCCACCTCCCATAAACTTCGTTTTCAGCCATTTGTATTTTGTCATTCATATGTGATTCACAGAACCCCAGCCTGGTTTGTGTTGGAAGGGAGCTTAAAGCTCCTCCAGCTCCAACCCCTGCCACGGGCAGGGGACCCCTTCCACTGGAGCAGCTTGCTCCAAACCCCTGTGTCCAACCTGGCCTTGGACACTGCCAGGGATGGAAGCTGGGTCTCTGCACTGGGGGTTGCTCTTTGGCGCATAATGGCCCTCAGCCACCCTGCATCACCTGCATGCCCATGTCTCCTCCATGTCAGAGCTAACCCTGAGGCTTTGCTTTAATATATGCCAGCAGCTGTCCTAGTGCCTGCAGACACACAGGAGGAGCCTTCCCTTTGCTCTCACTCAGCTCTCCTGGGCAGAGCAGAGGACTCGGTTCTCCCACACACTGAACTGTGAACCCACTGCAAACAGCAGTGAGAAACAACCCAGTGAAAGGCATTTTCCTTGCAGGGCCGCTGGGCAGCAGGTAAAGCTCAGCCCCCATTATCAGAACAAATGGCATTTGTAGTGAGCCGGAATGGAAGCTGCGGGAGGAGGAGTGAGCAGCGCTGCTCCGGCCACCACGGCCACAGGAGTTTCACCTCTTATCTGCCAAATACAAAAGTATTCATCATTCCTCCACCAACCCTTGAGGGTTTTAATGCTGCCAGATTAAAAAATGCCTGTGATGATAATATAGATTTGGTATCCAGAGGGCAAAATCTGTTCTCTCCTAACGCACATCCATCCTTCCCTTTATTATTGTTCAGCCAAAACCACACCACAACTCGCACATTACACAGGGGGATTCATGTGCAATAATGTCAGCTCTCCCACCTATCAAAACTGCTATAATCCTAAAAACAGAATTCCCATTAACCCCAGCTATGGTGACTTAAATGTGACCCATGAGAATAAACCTTAAAGAAGTGGCTGAACAGCAGCCACCTTGTTTCCTGGTAGGCATCTAATGGGGAGATGGCAACGCCATTGCTTCCCTCCCTGCCCTATTCATAGAATCCCAGCCTGGTTTGTGTTGGAAGGGACCTTAAAGCTCATCCAGCTCCAACCCCTGCCACGGGCAGGGACCCCTTCCACTGGAGCAGCTTGCTCCAAGCCCCTGTGTCCAACCTGGCCTTGGACACTGCCAGGGATGGGGCAGCCACAGCTTCTCTGGGCACCCTGTGCCCGTGTCTCTGTGCATGAAAACAGACTTTGCTCTTCTAATTCAGGCTGGGAGGTGCAGCAGTTTAGATGTGCTTAACATCTCTGACACCTCACTTCAGGTAGAGATGCTCCCTGGGGGTGGGAGAGGCGAAGCATCCCAGGAGCCGTGCAGAGCTGGGCAGGCTGCTCCCACTTCATGCTAATGAGACAGTCTCTTGCAGGAATTTTGGCTCAGTGGAAGCTGCAGGAGGTAGCATGGTTCATTAGGCTGTGAGAGCTTTAAAATGTTAAAGGAACTGGTTTTCCTCTCTCATTTAAGTGAATTGCTAAAAGCACTGGGTCGTTTTTCCACGGAACTTCACATTCACTGTTTCCTTCATTAACCTTCACCCTCCTACATTTAGTATTGTAAGGGAAAAATAAAGTTAACTCTGAGATAAGCTGCTGCAAATTCAGTCCCCTCAAGCTTTAAATCAGAGCCTGGGAGCTGGGCCCAGGGGAGCACTGGAGCTCTTTTGCCACTATTTTCTGTGTAAAGAGGATTTAGTGTCCGTTTGCCAAATATTAAGGCTGATAACACCCTGTGAATCATTCCCAAATTGCTTTTAGCAATAGATGCACTCGTCCTTCCCATTTATGTGTTTATTGGTAGCAGGAGGACAAGCAGCATGCTGGGACAGGACCTTCCTGTGCACGGTGCCCCCCAGGCTGGGGCCAGGAGAGGGTCCCCGTATTGCCCTCAGTGAGCTGGAAAACAAGCTTGGAAGGCATCAATGGGGAGTTAGAGGAAACTCAGAGCTAAATTAAACAATACCCTTGACACAGGCTCTGGAAGTTCAGTTCTGGGATATTAGCATCAGACTGAAACCACTGCGGAGGCGGCCATGGGCTGTTGCCACTGGGGAGCAACACGCTGGATTCAGGAAAGGGGTAATTCCTTCCACGCTCCCCCAGGTACCCCTGGGAAAGCGAACAAGCTGCATCCTGCTCTGCTACTCGTGTGTTTTCTGGTCTCAACAGGGTGTTTTTCCTCGTATCAATTTAATTCCAAGGCACCAACCTGTGCTCTTGCAGCCCACAGGAGCTGTGCTAAGTGGGAGGAGATGTGCAGCACTCCATTTCAGGCTTTTCTGGCAGCAGTGGGATGCTTTCCCTGGCAACAGCACACACAACAGCACTGTGTCACCTCCATGGGGAAGGGACTGCAGCACAGCAGGGGGTTGGCATACCACTGGCCCTGCCTTTTGGTCTCCGTCTCTTGGTACTATTCCGATCCCCATCTCTTGGACCTGTCTCTTGGTCACCTTTACCTAGAGCCCATCTTTTTGTCCCCATCTCTCAGTCCCTGTCTCCAGTCTCCATCTCTTGCTACCCATCTCTTTATCCCCTTTGCACATCCCCTGTCTCCCGGTCCCCTTCTCTTGGTCTCACTTTAACCCCAGCCATGGGGAATGGAAGGCAGGGGATCAGGAGGAGGAGGAAGAGGCTGCA